TGTCATATCTGGCAGTGAGTTCAATACTTGATGTAAAGCCATGTTTATTGACTAATAGTGTAATTGAATTTGAATTTGTAAGTGGAATTTGATAGAATTGAAATAATCGATACATAAAAGTTTTACTATATACAATGAATATTTCATAACAATTAGTGAGTGCTTATTACATTCTGAATGTTCTAAAATGAGTTAATTCACACCATTTCTCCCAGGCTGTTTTTTATACCTCTGTGTAACTTCAACTTCATTTTAGAAATGTATGCTGAAACTCAGGAAGATAAAATATCTTCCCAAGAACACTCAGCTAAACAAAAATCAAGCTCTGATTGAACCTTGGCTGTCTGGTTACACAGATCATAATCTTCTGTTCCATTGGCTTCTATTTACATATTAAAAGTATATTTATAACAAATGACACTATTACATAATAAATAGCCCCACCTATGTGTAGTTCCAGCAGTTCTCCTGAGAATGTTGACATTGCTTTGGACTGTAACATTTGAAGAATAGGTCAAGTTCTTCAAAAACTCTTAAAAAAACTATATAAGATAAAAAAAAATCTTGGAATGTTGTTTGTGTGTGTATTCGCTTTTATTATTTAGCCAGGAATAAAATGACCAAAAATGTACCAACCCGTGTTTAACAGCATTATATATTTCTCTCTTGTTGTTTTTATTTGTTGGGTTTTGCTCTGTTTTTTTTTGAGACAGGATCTGCCTGGCTGTCCTGGAACTCACAATGTAGACCAAGCTGACCTTGAACTCAGAGAGATCCACCTGCCTTTGCCTCCCAAGTGCTGAGATTAAAGGCAGAAGATGTTTGTGTCTCTGAAGTCACAGGCAAAGCTCACAAAAGTAATGCAAACAGAGGCTACAGAAAAAGTTTAATGAGCAGAGTACTAACCATGCAAGTGTGAGGATCTGAATTCAGATCCCTGGCACCCATGTAAACAGCCAGCCATGGCAATGTGGGTCTGTTACTTTATTGCTAGGTAGGGACAGAGATAGGGAGATCTTGCAGGCTCCCTGGCAGCCTGTGTAGCCACGAGAGTGAGCTATAGGTTCAGTGAAGACTCTGTCTTTAAAAATAGGTTGAAGAATCATAGAGGAAGAAACCTGATGTAGACGTATGGCTTATACACACATGTATACACACCAACATGTACGCGCACACACACACACACACACACACACACACAAGTTTCTAACATACCTGAAAAGTAGTGCATGAAGCCATAAGGTGTCCACTGAATAAGTTACTTCTTCCACATTGAAAATGTCATTTTCTTTCATGTTTATGTCCATCAATTTAGAGCAGTGACAGTAGGGACCCTCCTTACTAATGGTGTGTAGGCATCCTATGCCATATTTTGGATATTTTGGCAGAGGTAATGAAATAGGAATGAGGAGTGACCTACATTCTCAGTGCAGGAGACAGAGAAACTGTACATAAATACAGACATCAGTGAGCCATGCTCTGGCTAAAGATCCAATGTCCCCAAAGGCAAGCATCAGCTACTTTAACTCACACTGGGTGCCCTAGAAAACAGCTATTCAAATTCTATTCCTTGATGGATTCGAGGTGGGCTTTTACTAGCAGATAATATGCTTTGGTGCCATGGAGTATCTCAATAATACAAGTGACACGCAAAAGTCTAATCTCTTTATCCTAGAAGAATTAGTTTCAACAAATACGACAGATTTATTGTTCTATTGGGAGCCCTTCAAGATTTATTGTGTTGCTGTTATACCCAGATCACAGGGACCCCCAAAAGACCACCACGAAGATTGAAACCCATACGTAAAAGCAAAGAGCCTTTATTGTCAAACTCAGAGCTTGGACTCTCTGTCCAAGCAACAGTGGTGAGAGCAGAGAACCCAGAGCCCAGGCGGGGTAGGGTTTTTATCATAGCAGAGTGAGGAGATTCCTAGGGTTCAGGACCCTGATTGGCTGACATTTGTCTAGGGATATCAGTAAAAGGAAAATGGGTGTGTGCTCAGGGACATCTATTGATCTTATCTAATCTTATCTAATGGTTGGAATGTTTGAGAGGTCAGGTACTTCCCCTTAGAGGCTGGCTCATTCCTGGGTGGATCCCTGGGTGGTATTAGCTTCTGGCTTTTCCCGGATCTGTGGATCTGCATGTTGCCTATCAGCAAGCCTGTCACAGCAGCTGTGTCTGGGCACCTAAGCCTGTCATGGCCGCTGTGTGGTCAAACTGTTTTGGGTACCCCCACATTGCTGTGATGAAATAACCCAGCTAAAAGCAACTTAGAGAAATGAAGGCTTCATCTTACAGTTCCAGGTTAAAGTGGAGAAATCAAAACAGGAACTTTGAATAACTAGTCATATCACACACAGAGTCAAGACCAGAGAGAAATGAGCACATGCAAGTTCACTTGCTTGTGCTCAGCTTCATTTCTCTAATTTCTCCAACCTAATACAGTTCTGGACAACATTAAGGAATGTTGCCACCCACAGTGGGCTGGGCCTACACACATCAACTAACTTAATTAACACAATCATGCTCACAGACATGCCCACAGGATATCCCTAATTAAGAGCTGTCTTCCTAAATAAACTGCAGTTGCTTGATGTAGTCAATGAAAGCTAACCATCACAGGGGATGATTTAGAACACTCCATTTTGCTTTCCTTACGGCTTCACCCACTTTCCTCTGTGACACCTCTGAGACCCTGACTCAGTGAGGCTCAGCTTATTAATGACAGAACTAAAAGGAGGGTATTTAGAGAACAGAAATTTGGTACAAAGCCTGGACATCTATTTGGGAAAGATCTTATTAAAACCTGAGGTAGTATCATGTTGGAGATCTGCAGACATCCCCATGGGAGGGGCTCATCCTGCCTTTTGTTTTGCTAATGTCTTCTATTGATCACTGCATCTGTCATCTTTGTCATGAAAAGCATCTGAATTAATGAAATTCATTTCTCCTTGGAAAATTAACTTCTGGTAAAACAAATTTATGGAGCATACCAAATAAACTTATACTGCAGAAGATATTGCTTGATAACTCACATTTTTTTTTTACTTTTTTCTTCAATGTGTCTTTCACATTATGCACCTTGATCCCTTCCATTTCTCTGTCCTGTCTCATCCACCTTCTGCCTCTGAACACCCCCCCCCCAAATAAAACATAATTTAAGAGGAAAAAAGGGGAAAAATTAAAAATTCTCACCATGGAAGCTGCAGTGTGGCACAATGAGTCACGCAGTAAAGCCCTTTGTCCATACACCTTTGCTTGCAAGTGTTCATTGCAGTTATTGGTCTGGTTCGAGGCCTCTGGTTCCTACTACACTACTGATGCTGGGCCCTCACTAGGACTCTTCCTGGATATCCTGTTGTTGCCCTGTGTTGTGGAGATCTTGCAACTATGGGTTCTGCAGGTCAAGCCCCTTCACATGCTCCAGCAGATCATAGATGGTGTGGATGTTGAGGCAGGCCAAGTCGTTACCCTGGTTCTGGGCATGGGCAACTACAGGGTTGGTCAACCTGCCAGCTCTGCCCTGTCCTCACCACGAGTGTGGATCACTCACACTCTTTTGGGAAATATAGAGAAGCATTTCCATATGCAATTATGACACATTTCTTGTGATAATTAACATAAATTCAACTCTTAGAGATTTTCTCTTTTACTTCTCAAAGAATGTGTATTGATTTCTAAAAGGTATTTATTTCTAAAAGATAAACAAAAGTTATTTTCTTTAAAAGCAAAATCTGTTCAGGTGAAACAAAAATTGAGTGCATTTTTTTAGTACAGTGATGTTGCAAAAATGTAAGTGGCAGTAGATATGTTTTTGAATATTTGTTTTCCATATTGTACAAAATAGCACATAGCCTATTTATAACTCCTACAAAAACAACTTAAGTGTCTTCCATAGTTTGCCACTGGGAGGTTAGAGTTTAAAGTTCTATTTAATTGGGTGCTGTCAAAAAATACTTATGTTGCATTATTATGCATTTTATAAATAAGCATGCAAATTATATTCATTGTTATTTATTTCAAAATAAGAGTTTCACAAAGTTATAAAATCATCTGTGAATATTTGTGATATTTATAATAGTACTAAAGCTTTGTGCTGCTCACTAATGAATGAGGATGGTAGCATTGAGCCTAAATCTGTTTAACACACTGTACTCTTTCCAAAATTGTTGGGTGGTTTTAGTCAGGGCCAGGTTTTGCTATTCACCATCAAGAGTTTCAATAGGACTCCAAACCATAAAATTAGGTAATTATTTCTAGCTTCCATCAGTCAGCATGATACCTAGCCTCAGCTTCTCACACATCAATAGCTCTGGTGGCTAACTTCTATGCCATCTGATTGTCATGAATTCAGGTTGTGGTTTCAGTCTATTCCTCAGTGGCATAAATTTGTTACCCTGTAACACTAGTGATCCAAGTGACAACTGTCTACTTACTATTGCAGTTTTGCAAAGGTATTTCTATGGAAATAATGTAAAATATGTAGTATTTTAAATATTGTTGTAAACTTTATCAGGAATAGGTGATGGTACACTAATGTGGTAAGTGGTTAGACACTGAATTGGGCTCTGGTTAAGTGAAAATACTGTATGGTTCATTTTTATTTTTGTTTTTGTGATTTGAAATAGAATCTTGTTACATAGGTGGGGCTGTCCTGGAACTTACTGTGTTCAAGCTGTCCTCAAAGTCATAGCAATCCATCTCTCTCATCCCTCATCCTTCTGCAAGTTCAAATTACAGGCGTGAGCTACTATACCTGTCTTACATTTTATTTCCTTATTAAAGGAGATCTGTCCTTGCATATATATGCCCACCAATTGCAGACTTTCCAAATTCCTTTGGTATGAAAATTATGTATAGAGCTCCTGCATGCAGGCGCACTCAATCCAGTCACCCCTAGGCATGGTCACTGGATCAGAAGAATTCATGCAGAATGAGTAAACACCTGGAGCTTCTGCTTTCTACTTTAACTTTCCTCTCTTCTTTCTCCTAATAGGAACTTTTTACCCCTGAATGCAAGTTTAAAGAGTCTGTTTTTGAAAACTATTATGTAATCTACTCATCCATGCTGTACAGGCAACAGGAATCTGGCAGAGCCTGGTTTTTGGGATTAAATAAGGAAGGGCAAGTTATGAAAGGGAACAGAGTAAAGAAAACCAAACCAGCAGCTCATTTTCTACCCAAGCCATTGGAAGGTGAGTATACCACACACATTATCCTCTTGGAAGCTGTCGTGTACATTAATTTTTACAGGGATGAATCTGACGTGGCCACAGGAAACTTCCAAAGGCTGATAGAAATGTCCTATGTTGGAGTGCTGTTTGCACAGATTTCTCCTTGTGTTCTTGGCTCAGCTTTATGGGCTCCAAGTGTATGTTTAGGGTAGAACAGGAGCTTAACATTTGCCAGAGCCAGGGTTTTCAGTTCTAAACACCAAAGCTGGAGTAAAAGAAAAGGAAAAATAAAAATGTCCTCTCTCTCTCTCTCTCTCTCTCTCTCTCTCTCTCTCTCTCTCTCTCTCTCTTTCTCTCTCCCTCCCTCTGTGTGTGTATGTGTGTGCAGCAGAAAACTTCTTTCAATTTTGCAAATCCTTACTATCCTGAATGTTCTAAGTACTTCATGATTTTTAGTTAATTTTTTAAAAATAAAAATGAACTATGTTCTTACAAACATATAATGATAAGTTTATAAGAAAAATGTTTTTACATGGAATTTCAAGTATTTGCCTATTTTCAGATTATCTGGGTAAAATTTCTTTTGAATTATTATAATTCTTGAAAATGATCCTGAAAGAATTCTGTAAAGTTCCATATCTCCTCCCATGCCACATAAATTAATTCCCTATGGTAAAGGAACTTACCTATCTTTAACTCTAAATAGCAGCTCCTTCACATTTGTTTTTATCAAATCCCAAGGCTCAAGCTACCATGCTCTATTAATTAATTAGAAATATATGTACTTTTTTCATTAATTATTCTGCCAGAAGGACCATTTACTGTTGTTTATGTTAAATTTTAGAACTGAAAAAAAAGTGACTTTGAGGCTATTACAAAGTTTTCTTAAGAATCAAAAATGAGGAAAATAACAAATCAAGCAAGCTTACACAGGTGGCCCAGCTTCTTGGGATAAAAGAAAAAGCCACCAGGCCCCTCTAGGGCCATCTTGTAGGTTGTAGTCCTGAAATCTACAGAATTTCTAAGTCTGTAGGACTCTTCACGCTTGATGCTTTGAAGTTCCTCAGTATTACCTCTAACCACTGAGCTGACCCAGCCCTTCTCCTATAGATAGGTCATGGTTAAGATGTATAGTAAAAGTATGAGGGCCACAGAAAATATCAGAGACTCTCCTGCTGTGGCATAACAGTATTATCACAAATAATCCTATTACTTGGTATTCTAGCCTTAAGTTGAACTGTTGTGTGAGCATGGTATGTACATATGAGGAGAGAAAAATACTATTATATCATGTTTTAAAATAATTTCTGGACTGAGGTACTCTAGCCAAAACAAGGGAGTATGCTCTACTATTCCTTTAAAATATTACTTCTGAAACACAAGATTTAACAGTGGAGATTACTAGAAGGATATCAATTTCCTTTATAAGCCCAAATATGGTATAGATTGTATAATTGAAAATTTAGGGCAATTTCCACTGGGGTATGATTGTTTCTGGATGTTCTAGGGCAAGTCAGATCTCCCACCTAACCTTACTTCATAGATGGTATAAGTCAAAACTTTGATACTGTTGGGTCCTAACTTAATTAGAGTACAAGTGAGAAATTGGAGATGCTTCAAGAATGAAGACAGCTTTCTTTCTTTTTCCTATTTGTTTAAATTAAAAATAGATTTTCAGTACAACATATTCTGATTATACTTTCCCTTCCGCTAAGGATCCTTCCAGATCCTCTCTACTTCCCCATCCAACCAAGTCCACACTCTTTCTTTCTCTCTGTCATTAGAATAAAATCTGGCATCTAAAAAATAAATTAGATAAAATAAAAATAAATAAACCAAAATAGGAGAAAACAAATAAACAAAAAAGAAAGAAGCCAAAGAAAAAGCTCAAGAAACATATACAGATGCAGAGATACACAGATTAACACAAATAGAAATCCCATAAAAACATAAAATGGGAAAACATAGCATACGAAGAACCTGTAAGGAAACAAAACAAAATAAAACAACAAAAAGCCTAAAGTCCTAACAAAGCATTATGAGACAAAGTACCTCAAAAAAAGCCATTAAGTTCATTTTGTGTTGGCCATCAACAGCTGAGCATGAGGTTAAGCCTTAAGAGTGGTTTGTATACCCAGTTAGACTTCCCTGGAAAAAACTAATTTCTCATTTGTGAGAGGTTAGCATTTAGAGACAGCTCTTGGGTTAGAGACTGGCTTCTTTTACATGATTTTCAAGTAATTTAGCTCAGTGTATATTTACCTTTGTAAGTGTGCTAAGAAAAAACATGTGATACGTTGTTGCAAATGTAAGATACCTCCACTGTACTCCTGGCACTGATCCTGACTCCACCCAGGGTCTCTTTTCTGAAATACCTAAGCTTTCAAAATCCAAGCAGCATGCTGGGAAGACTGACTGTAATTACATTGCTGCTGGCAGACGAGTTTAAGTCAACTAATTTTCCCACATGTCAGATACTTTTAAATATCCTTTCCTGAGACTCTGTAAAAACATTTTCTAAAAAGTGACATGAACTATGGTGCTCATGTCACAAAGCACAACTCAGACAATTCCTCAATTTTCTTGCAGGCATTAGTCTCAGCTGCTGTTACTGTTCAAAGCCTCTGTCCTACCAATACCAATTATTTGATTTTTAAAATAATGCATCAGAAAAATAGATACAGAAATATAAATGTTATGTAGTTTCCTCCAGTTGTATAAAGGCCCTTCCTATGATGGTGGGAAAGGAAATAGAAGTAATTATTCACAGAAAGCTCTGGTTTAAGCAAAAGGAAGCCTTTATTACTAACACTGTGTGTAGCTTTCAAGTGGAACCCAGTGTGACTGTGTGGCTTTTAAACCACTAAAGAGAAAAATAGCTTAGTGATCTCAGGTGAAAATAGAATTAGGTCAAATGCTTTTCTTCAGAGAGAAAGAGAGAGGGGAGGGGGAGAGAAAGAGTCTGTGTATATATGTGAGTGCTCATGCACCACACATTCTTGAGTAGTTATGTATGCTTTTCTTTACAGGTTTACATAGAGTCCATAGCTCTCATTTAAACTTTATTAGAAAAAAATCTATGTACATATGCATGCACATATTTTAGTATATAAATTAGAAAATACATTGAAAGTTATATCTTAATTTATGAATTAGAAATGACTGCCTTAAAACTGCTGTGCTCATTATCAATGGGATTGGGTTCATCCACCAAAAATAGATACAGACTGGATGAGGTCTGTGCAAAAAGTGGTATGCCATTCTTGCATGATAACCAGATAACCTCTTTCTTTCTTCTCCCTTTCTTCACATCTCTAGTTGCCATGTACCGAGAACCATCTTTGCATGATGTTGGAGAAACGGTTCCAAAAGCTGGGGTGACGCCAAGCAAAAGTACAAGTGCATCTGCAATAATGAATGGAGGCAAACCAGTCAACAAGTGCAAGACCACATAGCCAGATCCTCAGGTGTCCTGACTCACTTGTCCAGAGCACAGTGGAGCGATTTATCCTTACTAGACATTCCTGCTCCTGTGGTTGAAGAGCCCCAGCAAGCAAGCTGATGCTTGTGCTATGCTCTCTCAGACCTCCTTCGTTGCAAGTGGATAAATCTCAACCTGTGGTCCCCCCACACCAAGAAGACACCAGGACAAACCAGCTAAACTCAGACCATGGAATGCCCTACCAGATATGGAATGCCTTTTTAATATCTTTTCTGTGACTGTGACACTTCATGTGAATGACATACTTCACAAGTACACTCAATACCTTGCCTGCTGACAGCTACCCATAATCCTTTTTGAGTCCTGTTTCAGCGAAATCCATGTGTTTAAGTTCAATTTTGTAGCACACAAATAATATTGAGTAATTTCTAGTTAGATGCTGTAAACCTGTGCTATCATGGATTTCTATTCTTCCCATTTTTACAGGGCTGCTTGCTCCACTGTCTGTGACCTTTAGCAGGATTGTGTTCCTCTGAATCTTCAGTGTTGCAGTTGGTTTAGTTTAGAGACCAATCAGGGAATCAGGAAGCCTTCTAAACCTATTAATACAAATTGTATCTATAAAGATTAAGGTTGTCTTTGGCTCACATTACCGATTAAACACACATATATGCTCTATCCAGTAGGAGACACTATGCTCCCAAGGTGGACATGCCTGGGTGGAGCAAGGGTCAAACACAATCCGTGGGAAGCTCTCTATGATAGGTGTTTGGCACCCCCTCTAAGTTTCTTTCTGTGTGTATGTGTGTGTGTGTTTTATACATATCACAAGCTTACTGGTGATGGTAACATTTGCCTTGCCCAGCGAGCAAGACCCACTTGGTTTTTGAGAAAGTGGGTCCAAAGAATTTTGTAGGCCTTGTAGGCCTGATTAAGGTTCATTTTTTTCATCTACTAATCCTGGTTATTGGGAAAAAGGAAAAATAAAAAAAAAAACAAATCATCACAACCTATAAGAAATATGCTACCTAAATCCATTTCCCACCCACTCCTTCCTGTTTTTAATGAAGATAACTCAATGCTGCCCCTGATTTGGGCTGCATTCCAGTTATCCTCAGTAGAGCATGGGCAAGGCGGCTGTTGTGTTCTTTCTACAGCAGCAATGCACACGTTAGTATACATTAGAGTTTAATATTTTTGGTGTTTAATTATAAGTTTTTAAACTGGACATACTAAGGAAAATTCCTTTTTTTCCAGCTTAGCATCCTGGGTCTGGTACTGTGTGTCACCAGTGCACACCTCTAACTCAGCTCTGTGGGGTCCAACAGGCTGGGTTTGAGGTGACTTGCCAAGATATCAGAATGTGGTCTGTTGAGTACCATAGATAAAACTAAAGGTAAACCAACACACTCAAGCATTGGGGTTTGGGCCATTAATTGATTTGATTTTGTTTTCTTTTGCTTTTGTAATTTCATTTTGAATTGAATTTTGTTGAACTCTAAGAAAGGCTGTGAATTGATGGAGACACAGTTTGAAGACTCCATACAAAATACTCAATATCGGATATAAAGAGCTTCAAAATGTTTAATACTGAACTGTTTGAAAGTATATTTGTTAACTGTGTGTACACAATAAAATTCCATGTTTTCTTCTCAGAAAAGCTCATTGAGACCAAACTGAACCTCTTTTATAGAAAACAATCTATGTGGGATCAATGTACTGGCCTCTTGTTATTATTTCCATGTGGCAGAATGACCTAGATGCCATTTGCCCCCATCTGCACTGTGCTTACTGGGAAATTATTTTCTCATTGATTTCATGAATCTCCATGACAGCCCTTGCTCAACATAGAAAAATTTTGGCCTGCTTAGCTGATTAAAGATTCAGTATAAATTTAACTGTTTATGCTTATTTCATTTTCATATTGGATTCAATTTTAATAAACAACCATTAGCATAATGTTTGAGTAGATTTATTGTCAATAATGCTAAATTGCAAATACAAAAAAAAATGACTCCTTTGACCACTATTGATTTGGTGTTATGCATAATTAGACAAAACCCATTAACTGATTATTTAGGGAAGACATACATACCATAATATGTGGTAAAGTGTGAATAACTTGTAATTCCTATTTATTAGTTGGCCTTATAGACACAGGTTATACCCATCCACATGTACACACCCCCTAACCTAGCCTACCTTTCTGGTTTTGGTAATCAACATTACTTGAGATTTCTGTTCTCAAGACCTGGCTAGTGCTTAAAATTAAGGCAAGATTTATATTTGTAAATGATTGAAATTTATGTTATTGCTTCCCTCTGTTTTGTTTTCCAAGAGTTGTCAGTTGTCCATGAGAGAATGTATTATTGTAAGTTGATATCCAAGTGGCTTCTTCTAATACATGTTTAGATATATCACAGAGGGGTCCTTGTTATATTCTTGATTTAGTTAGGCCATTTCCTTTGTGTCTGGTCTCACTTGTTGCATGGGAAGAGGAAAGCATCAAATGAACTGCATGTACTAGGACCCATGTATCCAGAAGCACTGGTATGTATTTTTTGATTTATATACAGAGAGCTTGTCTGTATTGTACAATTTGTGTTTCTTACCATTTGTTGTATTTACAGATACAACATATCAAATAAAATACTCATATGAAAGCATATGGAAACCATCAAATAACTTTATGTAACAAAATGGCATTGTATCACCCCAAATATAGAGAACTCTCTGTAAATAAGATGATAAACTCAGTTTTCCCCTTTACCATGCCAAAGAAAATTTTAGCTCTCTGATGATACCTCTCTTGCTAATTTTCTGGAATAAGATCATCATTCCTTCCCTCAGAAATTAAGTTTGCTATTATTAAGTACAATCTGTCATCACTGATGTTCTGTATAGTAAATCTGATGGAACACATTTGTATTTATAGACTGTGTGTTTTATATCTCCCTGTATGTATATCCATTGTATCATGTCTCTAGAAGACCCATTCCTTCTGCATGCATATCTGGTGGGGGAGAGATAGTTCTACCACCTTGTTATGGTAGCTGATTGCTTTGCCTATCCATCAATCGTGCTCATTAATATTAGTCCTTTACATAATTCAAGTGACACAATTTTTGTTTCCAATAAGTTTACTTCCTGAAATTTCTTATTATTTTCCCAGGAAATAATTATGGAAGACACTCAAACAGTCTGTCCTGTGTGAAGAGTAAAAGGGAATTGGGAACACTTTATGTATTTTGGAGAATTTGAAATCTTGTTTTAAGTGTTTGCTTGTCCTGGGTGCTTTGCGGGTGAGGACTAGCTTCATAAACGATCCCACGACTTTTGCTCTAGTCTTTCTAATTATTGACTTTCTAGCAAGTAAGCAGAATGTATCATACATAACCACTTAATTAATTATTAAACTACTAAACCATCTTTTTTTTTTTCTCCCTAGAGTGACCAATATCAGATTTGGTACTTTAAGCAAAAACTAAAACAACAAAAAGTCCTTTGTTGCTCCTTAAAGTGAATATGTATTATTTTGTTAAAAAGTTCTTCCAAATATTTCAAGGATAATAGATGTTTGATATCCCTCAAAGAAGGAATGTGAGACTAGAGTAGTCAAGTTTCAATTTAGAATAAACTTAAAATAGTGAGAAATGACTTTGATTTTATTTTAGGAAACAGCTATATCATAGGGAAACAATTAGGCTAAATGCCCAATTATTTTCTGAAGTATAAACTTAGTCAAATCCAGAATGTAAATTGTGTTGTTCTAAAATAAAGGACATAGGTAGTTAAGGGTTTGGCTTAAAAAGTGACACACAGTGCTATGTGAGTATCTAGAATACTGTGTCAGTTTCAAAGTTGTGACAGTTGAGTTTGCAAATTAAGACTGTGTTGTATTTTTGTTTCCCTTTGTTTGTGGTTCTCATTCAGTCTAATTCTGATATCTCCTGGTGAGGTTGAGTTTGTACTTGAGCTGATAGAGGTAAGTCATTCCTTCCCTGGTGCTGCTGGAATCCAAATGAATTCAGGATTCCTTAAAGGCAGTAGGAACAATGGTTCTCTTCATATCTTGAGGACTTTTGTTGACTTTTATAACTCCCCTGGAGGGATCTTCAATCATGGTTTGTTAAACAAGTAGGGTGAGGATCATCACCACTGGTGAACTTAATGCCAACCTTTCAATTATCATGGGTCCCAGTGTAATTTTTGAAAGCCAGAAGCAAGCCAAAGAGATTTGCTTATTTTCTCCTATTCATTACAAATTTGTCCTTGCTCAGCACTTTCAATGAGGTAGTTTCTATTTTGGATTCAAAGTATAGAATCGTATTTAGGTAGGGGATAGATTATGTCTTTGCCTGTCACTATTTTTTTTATTTTTGTTTTTAAACAAAAGTGTGTGGAATTTTCACACACATATTTATATACTGATGTTGGCATGACAAGAGCCAAACACAGGCAGACAGACAGATAGACAGACAGACACACACACACACACACACACACACACACACACACACACACACACACACTATAGTAAATTGATTAAAGCTTTTTTTAAAGTCTGTTTTCCAAGAAAAAAAATCTGACTAGAGACATACACTACATTTTCTTTTCATAATCTGTAACAAGGCACTCCAGAACATGGTAAACTACAACATATTTTCATGTTGTCCAAAATTTAAGACATCACATTTTGATCTCCATGGAATAATCATTTCTCCAATGTCATAAATCTATTCTGAGAAAACTTATATACTAAGGATATTTCAACACTTTTTCTTGTAAAGATATAAGAAGAGCAACACATTCTTTTGTAGTAGATACTACTTATAGAAATGATAAAAACTAAAGAGAGAATCATAGTAATTAAAAAAGACACACCTGAGGTGATAAAAGGGAACTGAAGGTTCCAGGGGAGAAAAGTCTGGCAAACTACCACACAGTTATGATTAAAGCCAGCCCACAACCTCTTTACATATGGCCTGAGAGCTCAGGATGGATTTTTATTTATTTATTACAATTTTAAAATATTAAACAATTAAAGAAGAAAATTCTACAGTAGTTTATCTAATACACATTGTTCACACCTTTATATAGAAGGCCAAGTCCTGCAGTAGGGAAATCTGAGGTCATTGTACCATGATGGGAAGGTCACTGACTCTCAATGTTTGGATGTCACCAAACATATTATCAGAACTGCTACTGAATTATTATAATTGCTTTGTTTCTGGCTTAAGATGTATATAGAGAAGAGGAAAATACAGAGAAGAGGAAAGAAAGCAATCATACCTTAACTCCTTATATTGCCCTCATTTTATAAAACTGATGTTAATTGTCAGCTCAGTAATAGAACCTATATGGCTGGGTCCCCTAATCTCAGGATAGAGGCAACAATTTTATAAATAGGTTAAATTCTCAGAACCTTATTGTTACTATAAAACCAGCACCAGTGAAATTGACTCTTCAAATACTTTTCAGTATTTAGTTTTTTTAAGTAATACAGTGGAGGCATGTTTTCTTTACTTTTGGTGACTTGACTGATAAAGTCCAAGCCATGACTTTAGAATATTTACATTATTAATATAAAATTTGCAAGTAAAAGTTTCATCTTAAAACAATACAGAAATGATTTTGCTATGTTATTTTAGGATTTTACAAATAATTTACATTTAGGAAAAAGGTATTTTTTTAGCTATAAATAATGGTTGCTTCAACTATGTGTATAAGTAGATCTAACTGTATATATGCAAGGAAACCCCAAATATTGTACATTTTCATAATTTAATGTGAGTTTCATAAACAGCAAAATTTCACCAAGAAAATAAACATTTTGTTCCTATCACTGAGTGAATATTTGTAATTTTGATTTAAGGTATTTCTATATTTTGGGGTCTACTTCTGAGCTTCTGAAATAGGTGTCGTTCTTGTTGACCCTACCATTTCTTTGAAAAAACATCTTTTAAGAGCTATGAGTGCAGTATGAGGATCCTTGTGTTTCCAACTAGACACTATCTTCTTCAGAGGACAATATTACATGAACTAATTTAAATAAAAAGTCAGATGTCTAATACATGTAACCCATGCCTAGTCTTAAAAACATGGTCTGTCAATTCTTGGGATCTAAAGTGGGTATTCCAATTCATTTTTTCTGTTGTGTTTGTTTTCAGTGGTTAGATAGATATTGACACAGAATATAAACAACTTATGTCACTATTTATTAAATTGTCAAGTTGTACATTTTTTATTTCTTCCTGTAAGAGATACTTGTGAAATTATAGCCCTTTTGATCTGGTAAACCCACTCCCATCATCACACGTCATATGTGTCTATCATCATTGTCCCAATATGCAAATTCAGATTCATATGAAATCCTGGAAAAATCCAACTGATCAGTTTATGTGAGAATAAATATCCTTATATTCTGATATAGTGTTTCTGGTGTCGGAATGTGGAGTCCTAAATACCATGTGATTTAGCATTTTTCTACTACATATTGGCAAACATTGGATTGCTGTGAGGGCCCTTCAATGTTCTATAGGGTGTTCAGCATTGTCTGTGACCACTACCTCTAAAATGCCCATAGCACAAGCACCCCTACCCTACCCAGTCTGACAACGAAATTCTCTTTAGACATTGTCAAATGTCTTGTGGGTGCAAAATTGCCCTCCTCGGTTATAAAACACTGATGTTAATTATGGGAAAACAATTCTTTGTGGTGTAAATTACATCAGTTTGCTGAAGTCATTTCTAATGAAGACCCATGTTTCACTCAGGCAGTCAGAAATAGAAAAACACATAAGAGTCTGTCCTAGTACTGTCTACACATGCATTCCTCTAAATTTCTAAAATGGCCTAGAAATGTGAATCCAGTTGTCGCCCATGGAATCATTAAGGATATTCAGTGCCAAGCCAGATTTCACATGCATTCCCGTTCCATCCATCCCAGCATTCACAGCTTCCACAGCTACATATTCCATTCCCTGCAATAAAATAAACATGGGAACTATAGTTATGATCAGAAAGCACTACTAGAATATGTGACTGTGAATCATAACTGTTCATGAGAAAACCATTCATTTATCCTCTCTAGAATGTCTTATAATAAAATGATGTCATTATGTTATTAAATACCTGAAATTCACATTTAAGATAATTAATGACATCTCTTTGATTCCATAATCTATAATGAAACAGTACCCACCTTGTATCACTCAGCTGGGCTCTCATATCACAATTCTATTTTCTGTTAGTGGGCAAACCATGTTTGACTTACAAATAAGCATTGAAAAGCATAAAGCCCCTTGATAAGAAATTAGGCAGGCCAGAGAGCTGGAAAAAATATCCTTGTGTAGTAAGGTGAACAGAAAAAGTGATTTCTAATTTAATGTCATGTCAAAATAGTTATCTTTAACCTTATTAAAATATTTGATTACAAAAATATTTTGAGTTACTGAGAAAGAATTTTATTAATGGTATATTGAATCAGCTAGAACTCTATGAAGTGTGAGTACATTTTATAATTAAAACAATACCTTCAGGAGAACACATACACGTGCTATTATTTCACTTGGTTCAGTATTTTTATACCTAATTATTATAACTCAATTAATTAAGTTTGTGATGGCCATCACACAGTCAAACCTTTTGTATATGCTTTTGCTATTGTTCCCACCACACACATATCTATACGTATACACAGCTCCCTAAAAACAGCCAATATACCAACTTGTGGCATCTGAGTGCTGCTTAAAACAGCAGCCCTGGCCTGTAACATGTTAAAATAAAATTATTTTCAAGAGAATTCTGCATTTGTATAATTGCTCTTATGCAAATTCATAGGGCAGGTTATCTTGTAGAAGTTTCCAAACAATCATATAATCTGGCTGCATCCTTTTAAACTCTTCTAGGGAAAATGTTAGTGAGTATTACAGGTGATCATTCATCCTTTTAGAATTACTACACATGTGCATTGTTCACTGGATTATATGGGAGCTGCCTTCTCTGGCTATCTAAAGCAGCATGTAGTGGATGCCATTTGGCTCTATTGTCATCTGTGGCACAAAACAATTAGTGTAGTTTAATACCTGTGCAAATGAGACCATCGTGTTTGTCACAGTCTCTATCATCGCAGTCACAAAACTCCCCTGAAATATACCACTCTTCTGCAGAACAAATGCACTTTCCACAATGGCAAGAACCTGAAATCACAATTGATATTACTGTCACCAGAGAAATAAAGGCTTCCATCGAGAAGAGAGTGTCGTTGTTACAAGCCTATTGTCAGTGTGTTACAAGTTTATTGAATAGCTGCTTTCTCAGAGAAGAGCTTTACGTACTCAGATACATAAAGGTCATTCAGGAAAGCCTTCATTATAGATCTAGACAGTCGTAATTAGCCTGGAGCAAATGTTCTTTGGCCCAGTCTGGCTGAAATGTCAATGGAACAGGATATGGCTCATCCTTAGAGATACTCTCCCCAAAAGATATTCAAAATAGATGTTTTGTTTCTTTCTTTTTAAATTTAATTGCATTTTAAGTCCTTGTTATCTAAAGGAATCCAATACTAAATTACATTAAATGAAGATTCATTTTGTAATTTAGTAACAACTAAATTATTGAGCTCATCATCTTAGAATTTTATTTATATGAATTTTTGAAATAGGAACACACCAACGTCATACTGAGTGGCAAAGTGAAGTGTTAAAAATGCAGATACAATCTCTCATGTCTGATTGATGTCTCAGACCTGCCCTTCAGGATTTTATCCATAATCAGGAAGAGTCCTAATGAACCCCAAATGAGGTCAAGTCAATTTTGCTACCCCTTATCAACTTTTTTTCTGGTTATTTTAATCTAATTTTAAAACAACAACAAAAAATTATTTAGTTATTAAAATATTTTAGGTAACTGAGGATTTTACTAATGAATATTTAAGATAAAAATAAATTTTATGTTATTTCAAAGAGAAGAAATTTCTCTTTGTGCAAATGTCTTTCAAGACGGGCTTGAAAATCGTGGGGAAAGCTGCTTTTGCCACAGCGAGAAGGACAACTGCAGAATTCAAAAGGACCTTTTCCATTTCCTTGCTTGGCCTTTCTTTCTGGACACAATTTCCTTTTACTAAAAGATACTGATAGTTAACGCAAAGTTACTCAAGTCACCAATCACTTCAAGAAAATGTGAAAAGTAAAAGTTTTCAATGCAGTTAGCAAAACTCCAAACTCATTAAGCTCTAAATTCACAGAGGAGACTTGGCAGTGTTCTGAGTACTTCTCCTGTAATAGAGTAACTGACTAATGATTAACAACCTAGGGGCACAGAGAGCAGAAAACCTAGATTTGGGGAAATGGACTGACATGATACTGTCATGCATATCATGAAAGAATTATAGTTAAAGTGTCCCAAGCATTAAGTGCTATGTTAGTTCATGACAAGGTTATATGCATTTTAGGTGGAAGAATCTCCCACAACCAAATTTCATTTTGGCCTTTCTCGTCACACATCTCAAGGCAAGTCAGAACCAGTTGTAATGTGAGAATTGTATTTATATTTATTTTTACTTATTTGTTAAGTGCAGCACAATGTCACTTAGTCTTGACTTGTTTGACTGAGAGTCTGGGTTGACTTGCAGACTATTTAGGGCAATATATGGAGATCTTCTATTTTTGTGAAGTGATTGACAGTGTGGTGGTTGCCTCGGATCTTACCTGCTGGTCTAGTGGGAAAGACATAAGGCCCCCCTCAAATTCTCACCTAAGCAGAGGGTATCTTCATTTTAGAATTAACTTTTTCTTAAATTTAAATATTTTATTTAAAATTTATAGACATAGAAATGTTGAACAATCAATTGCTTATTTAACAAATGCTAATGAAATATCTACATGGGCACTCTATTGTCTATCACAGAGATGTCCCCCAAAGGAACATCATGTTTAGTGGCTTATTTCCACCAGAGAAGAAGATTAACTATTTGAGGAATTAAGTATTTTTTGATTCTTATATAGTATCTCTTACATCAGGAAGTTATTTACACAATAGAAATAAATGATTTTATACACTTAAGATATTAATATAGTCACACCTAGGATGCCTTTTCATGTGTACCATAATTCCTACAAAGAGTTTACACTTCATCTTTGAACTTATCTCTTGCCTGGAACTGATTCTTGTTACTTCTTTTGTTTCTGGAATGCTTAGCTGCAAAGTATAGCAAAGTATTTTCCTGAAATGAGCACGCTCAGCTAAAGTCAATGTGGTATATGTAGACTGAATATTTGACAAGTAAATTATAGCTCCAAATATAGTAGATGTCATAAAATGTTTAGAATAAAACTGGGGTTTGATTTTGTGTATGCTATGGAAGTAATTCGTGGTCACCATAATCCAAGGTTTGTTGTTTCTCTGTTGATGATTGGTAGGAAATTCTTCTACTCCCTCCAAAAATAGGAACAGCATAGTATGTAGTATTAACACAGTGTACATAGTCCTTAGAACCTATTATAGACTTTTATTGTAGAGAGCTCTGGCTGTTCTCATAAATAACCAATAATAGGGGTGGATTATCAATATCTAGAAAGGGGAAAGCATGAGAAGATTCTAACAAGTATAAGCTTACTGAACACCTCAAAGTGAGCAGCTGTTCAACTCAGCAGGTTAGGACCCATTCCCACTAGAGACCCAGCCCAGCCATAGGCTGCAGCTGGCCCATCCTGTCTGGAACCATAGAGTGATAAACTTGCAACCACAACACCACTAACCCGTTTGTTTTCATTCTCCAAAAGGACTCTTAACAATGTCCCTATTTTTATTTATGTTTTTTGCTGGCTTTCATTATTGGGA